AACTCTTGGGTCTAGGTCATTTGAAAGTTAAAATTTTGAAATTGGCTCTATAGCGCCACCTACAACAGCCGATTTAAAAATGCCTATGGGAGGGGTTCGAGGTCAAAATTGTCATAGAACCATGTAATTTGGAACACATGTTCCTCAAGTCAAGACATTGAACTTGTTTTATTATGGCTAAGCCCTCTGACAAACAGAAAGCCCATAAATTTCACTGCAAAATGGAAAAATGAAAAATAATCATTTTCATACATGTCGGTTGGAAAGCGACTCCTCCTCGGCCGTTTCACCGATTGGCCTCAAAATTGTTCCAAATCATCTCAACACATTTACCTTCAAAATGACTTCAGGGAATTTTGATCAGTGAAATGTTGTTTGAGCAGCGAAGCGGCAAAATGTGAGGGTTTTTTTGGCCGTTTTTGACAACATTAATTTTTTCCCGTTTGCACAAACAAAGTCTGATTTGCATTAAACTTGAATCCATTGTTCAACTCCAGGGTTTAGGTCAGGTGAAAGTGAAATATTTGAAATTGGCCCATTAGCGCCCCCTAAAGACTGAGCCAAAGTTTACATCGGGAGCCAAACCAGCTCTACTTATCATATTCATTCAAATTTGACAAACAATCTTCTATGACTACGGGAACAAATCATCACACGGCGGCGCCACCTCCTTTGAGCGGTGCTGCGTGGTACGGTGTGGTGCGGCGTAGTGCGGGGCGTTGTGGAGCGGCGCGTTGCGGCTTGGTACGGGACGGCGTGGTGCGGGACGGCGTGGTGCGGGACGGCGTGGTGCGGGACGGCGTGGTGCGGGACGGCGTGGTGCAGGGCGGCGTGGTGCGGGGAGTGCGCGCGGTGCAGGGAGTCGCGCGGTGCGGCGAGGGCCGTTCGACGCCGCTTGCGGCTTTAATTTCTTTCTTTCTTTCTTTCTTTCTTTCTTTCTTTCTTTTTTCTTCTGCACTTTGAGCCTTAATTTGACCCCCTGAACATGCATGAAAAGTTGTTAAATTTTGCCCAAAAATCAGACCTGGCGAAAAATTTGATATTTTGGTGTTTATTTTTATGGGACTCAAAAAATGCCAGAACAGCGCCACCTACAACAGCCAAAATAATACCCCTATGGGACTTTTGGAGATCAAGTTTGTTGTAGAGCCATGAAATTTGGTACACATGTTCCTCAAGTCAAGACAAGAAAAAAATATTATTATGGCTCCGCCCTCTGACAAACAGGAAGCCCATAAATTTCACTGCAAAATGGAAAAATGAACAGCAAAAGTTTTCATACATGTTGGTTGGAAAGCGACTCCTCCTCGGCCGTTTCACCGATTCGCCTGAAAATCGCTCCACATCATCTCAACACATGTACCTTCAAAATGACCTCAGGGATTTTTGATCAGTAAAACATTGTTCGAGCAGCGGAGCGGCAAAATGTGACCTTTTTTGGCCGTTTTTGACAACATTAAATTTGCTCCCGTTTGCACAAACAAAGTCTGATTTTCACAAAACTTTAATACATTGTTTAACTCTAGGGTCTAGGTCATTTGAAAGTGAATTGATTCAAATTGACAGATTAGCGCCCCCTAGAGACTATTTCAACATTTTAGATGGGCATTTTCAAATTTAGTTTTTTCAAAATGTTTGAAATTTTACACATACATCTGTTTTGCCCTCTTGATTCAAAAAGTCAACAGGGTCCAAGGCTTATTTTTTACCCTGTTGCCGTGGCGACGACAAACGCTCCCCATTCATTGCAAATGTACACCTCACACAAACATCAAACCAGCCTCGGCCGTTTCACCGATTCGCCTCAAAATCGCTCCACATCATCTCAACACATGTACCATCAAAATGACTTCAGGGAATTTTGATCAGTGAAACGTTGTTTGAGCAGCGGAGCGCCAAAAAGTGGCGTATTTTTATTTTCAGTTTTTGACAATAGAAAAATTGCTTCCGTTTGCACAAACAAAGGTTGATTTGCACAAAACTTGAATCCATGGTTCAACTCTTGGGTCTAGGTAATTTGAAAGTTAACATTTTGAAATTGGCTCTATAGCGCCACCTACAACAGCCAATTTAAAAATGCCTATGGGATGGGTTCGAGATCAAAATTGTCGTAGAACCATGTAATTTGGAACACATGTTCCTCAAGTCAAGACATGGATAAAATTTTATTATGGCTAAGCCCCTTGACAAACAGGAAGCCCATAAATTTCATTGCAAAATGGAAAAATGAAAACCAATCATTTTCATACACGTCGGTTGGAAAGCGACTCCTCCTCGGCCGTATCACCGATTGGCCTCAAAATTGCTCCAAATTATCTCAACACATTTATCTTCAAAATGACCTCAGGGAATTTTGATCAGTGAAACGTTGTTTGAGCAGCGGAGTGGCAAAATGGGACGTTTTTTTCTGCCGTTTTTGACAACATACATTTTTTTCCCGTTTGCACATACAAAGTCTGATTTGCATCAAACTTGAATCCATTGTTCAACTCCAGGGTTTAGGTCAGGTGAAAGTGAAATGTTTTAAATCGGCCCATTAGCGCCCCCTACAGACTGAGTCAAAGTTTACATGGGGAGCCAAACCAGCTCTACTTATCATATTCATTACAATTTGACTAACAATCTTCTATGGCTATGGGAACAAATCATCACACGGCGGTGCCACCTCCTTTGAGCAATGCTGCGATGTACGGTGTGGTGCGGCGTAGTGCGGGGCGTTGTGGAGCGGCGCGTTGCGGCTTGGTGCGGGGCGGCGTGGTGCGGGACGGCATGGTGCAGGGCGGCTTGGTGCGGGGCGGCGTGGTGCAGGGCGGCTTGGTGCGGGGCGGCGTGGTGCAGGGCGGCGTGGTGCGGGGAGTGCGCGCGGTGCAGGGGGTCGCGCGGTGCGGCGAGGGCCGTTCGACGCCGCTTGCGGCTTTAATTTATTATTATTTTTATTTAGCACAGTACATATTCATCAATGTGTCTGCAAACAGTGTCAATATAAATATTCAGGAACGAGCACAATAGCTAAATTGAATCCATGTTTGATGTTGAGTTCTTTGCTGTCAATAGTATTTTTCTTCCCTTAGCAGTTCACAGTAGACGCTGATAATTGCGATGGTCATCTCATGTTTAAAGTAATGCACCGGCATTACTTTCAGCACAAGGCGGCCGTGGTCACCTCCATAAATGAAATGCTCTGTGCTCGTCCTCGCTGTCATGATTTACGTTGCCGCTTGTGATATTTACAATATTTGTCATGTCTGATGTGGACGTGTCTGTTTATCACAAGGCAGTGGTCAAATATCTCATACGCCATTCTTTTGTCACTCACATGTTGACGAAAAAACAAGTCCCAACATTCACGATTTTGTAACGCATTGTAACGCTGTTTGCTTAGAAGAAAGTTAATGTAATCACATTACTTTTTTTGCCTCTGGGCTCTTGTATTGTAAATGTGTTATATTTTGTTAAGTAGAGTAAATTACATTATTTATATTTATACATGTGTATAAGACATGTAAAATTGTTTTGGCCATTAATGAGCCTGAAATTAATTGGAAAGAAGAAAATTGAATAATTTAGAAATATCAAATGTCTCAAGATATGCATTGTACTGGGTCATGGGTATAGAGATTAAAAAAAGATATTTTATTCGTCCCACGGCGGGGAATTTTCTGTGTTGAATCAATAGTTACAAAATAGTAGGAATGAGGAGTGCACGACACAATATATGAAGATCTGCATGTCTATATAAAAAAAACACAACAAAAGAAGAAAATAGAGATAAGTAAATATGCTAATATGTACATTATACACAGTATGCCACAATGGTCACTTTACTGTCAGAGGATCCGTCGCTGGAGTCTTGCCATGACATCTGTAGTCCGCACCAACCTCGGGTCCTTTACCTCCTCCCTCCTGGATCCTCTACAGGAGGCGATCCTGTTGTCGCCTACGGAGACAACAGATCTGATGACCCCATAAACTTGGCCCTCCACTTCATCCTGCAGCACCTGGACTCCTCGGGAGTCACGTCGGGATCCTGTTTGTGGACTTTAGCCCTACCTTCAACACAATCCTGCCATCTCTGCTCCAGGACAAGCTCTCCCAGCTCAACGTGCCCAATTCCACCTGCAGGTGGATCACTGACTTCCAGACAAACAGGAAGAAGCGAGTGCGTCTGGGGAAGAATGTCTCGGACTCTTGGGTTATAAATACAGGTTTCCCCACAGGGCTGTGTTCTTTCTCCCCTGCTCTTCTCCCTGTACACCAACCACTGCACCTCCAGCCACGACTCCGTGAAGCTGATCAAGTTCAAGGATGACACCACCCTCAGAGGATTTATTTCCTGCTGTAGCTCAGGAAAGCCAAGCTGCCTGCACAGATGTTGGTGCAGTTACGGCCATCACCGAGTCCATTCTCACCCCCTGTGGTTTGCTGGTGCCACTGTCAGGGACAAGCAGAGACTACAGCATATTGTGTGCGCTGAAGAGGTGATAGGCTGCAGCTTCCCATCGCTGCAGGACCTCTACGACGCCCAAGCTCGAGGGCGGGCTGGTCATATCATATCCGACCCCTCTCACCCTGCACATGGACTGTTCCAACCTCTCTTCTCGGGCAGGAGGCTTCGGTCCATTCGGACCAGAAAAAAAACAGTTTCTTCCCCTCTGCTGTTGGACTCCTGAACACTTCAAAACCTTGTATAAACCCTTTATAAAGGAACTTTACTGCTTTTTTTAATGTCACTTTACTGCTCTCACCTTACTGCACTGCTTAATGTCTTTTGTGTGCACCAAGGGCACACATATAGTAATGATTGTAATAATTTTATTTTTTATATTTTAGAAATGCCTGTATATTTCTATTATGCCTTATACTATTCTCTACTTTTGCACAGAGTAGTATATTAGTATATACTAAGAGGGCAATTACATGATGAATCAGTACTGAACAACTAAGAAACCTTTCAGCCTATCCTTTTATTCATATTTCTTTTGTTTTTGTTTTATTTTCAGATAAGCTGCTGGAGTGCTCAGGAGGGAACGAACAGCACTGCAGTCTCTTGCTCTTGCTCCTTCTGGTGATGTCTGCAATATTTCAACCACACATATAAGGACGTATTGCGTTTTATGCATCGAGAAAGGACTTTGATTCAAAGTGGTGAAGATGATGACAGATTGCAACTCGGTCGTTCCTGGCTTTATTATATTTCGTACAATTTCAAGCTGAATAAATGCCATTGTTGTTGACTGAAGTACGGTACTCTCTGCTACATGGGAATATGCTACAAACGGGTGAAAAGAGGTCTCCAGCAGATACGGACTGGGCATCACAAGTGAACATGTCAAGTCATGGTCGTGGGCTGGCTTGAGAATGTGATGTGATTTTTCAAACTAAGTGTGTTTGACTCACTCAACATGAAAGCACAACATTTCCATATCCACAAAAAATCGGAGAATTTTATCATTGCTATCAATATCTTTGTAAATAGTAAATATTCCATCCGAAATCCCCATTAAATGCAATGATTATGTGCTTCATTTTCTCAACAAAAACAGGATATTAAACCTGGCTCTACCCTTTTTTAAATATAGAGTTGTTATGCCTTAGTCATACTTGAAATCTGGCTAAAGTTCAGATGAGGTTTTAATTTCTATCTATGCATTTCCTCTATTGTTGTTTTTATTTCTATTGTCTTGCAATGTTTGCCCTGATCTCAAACTATTTATTAGCTTTGCAATTATCACATTGTAAGAGCAGTCTGTCTTTTTTGGAACAACGATACTGTAATTATACACAAATTACTACTTGTACATCTTCCATTTGAGCAACAAAGCCAAAATATGTAGTCTATATTTGTATAAAAGTATTTCAATTTGGAGAGACGAGAAAACATCAAGTGGGCTCAATCCCGCTTCAAACGCCAGATTTAGTCAAGTGTTTAAAAAATTCAAATCCCAACATTCCACTGTAACAGCAAACACACTGGTCAATATTTGGCTCCAGTTGCCGCAGTAGCTGGCTGGCGCTGGATCAATTTCTCTGGCTGCGGTAAACAAAGATAAGGGTTTTACTTTACAGATCTGACAGTTGGGTTTGAAATGTTACAGAAATAGTAAAAAGGGAATTCCTCTCTGCGACACTACTGTATACATTCAGCCAAATCCACTATGGCTCCAAGAGCTAAAATCCAAGAACTGAACTGCAATTCCATACTAAAAATAACATATATTTTAGGTGTTATACAATATTTTAGAGTAAAACATGTAGAAAGTGAATTATGTTTTCTATATGTTTAAGGCTTATGATGTTCTTTTGATGAGACAAAAACTGTAAATAATCTAGTTTGATTACCTGACATGTTTCTGCCGTCAGAGGAGACACAATAACTGCATGTCTGCAATAACTGGATGTGTGCAATAACTTGGTGGACTAGAAATGTGGGGACTGTGGCATGTTTACATTGATGTTTCTAATAAAACTGTTCATTGACATGCATTATCCCATTCAAAAAATTACATAAATAAGGCCCCGTTTTGACGAAGATGCTGCGGCGATGCTGCGTAAAAACAACCAGGCTCCTTATTCGAAATGCACAGCGTCCACAGGATGACAGAAAATGATGTAGTTCCAGCACCTGGTCAGTAGGACCCCCAGCAGTATAACCACTTCCTCAACAACATCCACCTCCGGCCACGGGAAAGACAGGAAAGAATGCACAAAAATCATTCTGCATTTTACAGTAGCAGCAACAATGGAAACTGAAACTGCAGCTTTGTGTTCTTCTCTTCTCTGTAATGCTCAAAGCAAACGTAGCATTAGTGTACCCCCGCCATTGTTTTTTATGTATGTTCTCGGCTACTGCATAAGTCTAAATGTACACGTGGGGAAGTGGGGGCCTCCACTTGCCTCCAAAGCTGTTTCTCAATGCTTGGATTTTCTACCCCCTGATTCATTGTCTTCATGCAAACGAAAGGCCAACTTTTTACTGTCGCGGCATCCTTGTGTAAACAGCACATAAATAAACACATGGTGTGACGCGTTTCTTGTTGGGTGTTACCAGATCGGGTAGATCCGACCGAGACTGACCATGCCCCCCACCACTTTGTGGTTGTGCAGAAACATGTGGTAATAAAGCAGTACTCGCTTATTTACACTCTTTGTTTTTTACCCTAAAATGATACATTATTTTTCAGCTTGGACCTTCTGCTCTTGGGTTAATACATGAGCTACATAGTGTGGGACTTGGTTGAATTCATATAGAAGTGTCATAAAGGGATTCCGTTTTCTAGGGGATAGGTAAGATTGTTTTTTTACAGTGCATATGTCACAACAAATGTAGCTATCAGACAGTATGATAGAAATATGATCTTCAAATCATCTATAACCTTGTGAAGTCACGTGCAAAGCCACCAAGAGGTCCATTGAGTTTTTAAACATGTCTCAATGTGCATCTGTTTGTTGCAGTAAAATGTCACAAAGACAGAATTTTATCTGTTGAGTTTTTGGGGGTATTGACCATTTACATAGAAATGTATCATTCATACAAACATCATTTCATTTCTTCGTTTCCTTTTATTTAGTGTTGGTTTAACATTAAAATCACAGATAAGCCCTATCTGTGAATAACAACCCTAGTTTTATTATTGTTTGCACATGTTTGTGATTGACTCCAGATGTAATCCTCACTGGACGAGTTGTACCGATGTTCAGCCCCAATGTTGCAGGCGTCCCACAGAGAAGCTCTACTCTTCCTTAAACCTGTGAAACCCGTGAGTGTGATTGAGTGAGAGGAGACAGGAGCACTGCAGGACAACTCTCATCATCTCTGCAATCAAAAGCTCCAGCATGGGTCCAGTCTCATTCTGGAGAGTCTGGTGTGTCTTCAGGCTTATTGTATCATTTGACTCTTTTACTGTATATTTGCAATGCTTTTGTATAGTGGAATGAGAGTTATTTGTGAAAACTGAAACGAAAGTAAGGTTTTGCAGGGATAATACCTTTTTTGTAGATGACTATTGAGAATATTTATTATTATAATTATTTTCTAGTATTTTGACTTCAATAACAATCTTTAATATAAATGCATCAATAGCCAAAATCCTTTATTTTTGAATTGTATTGTATTGTTTAGAAATTACGATAACATATTGAAATTAAAGTCTCCTGTATCTGTTTTATACTGTATTGTGTGGCCAGCCAAGATGCCCAGACCAAAACTGAAGTGACAGCTATATTCAATAATTGTGTTCTCTCCTCACCTCTGGATGAAGGCCTTTTCCTGTGAAGTGTGGTTCTTTTGGCACCGCATTACCATTGCTGACAACGCCATTTCAATAGCCCTGAAAGTTCATACAGTCATATAGGGCCTGGAAGGTAAAAGTGACAGTAGTGCCTGTAGTGATCGGTGCACTCAGGCAGCGACCCGAAGCTGGAGGAGTGGTTACGGCAGGACCCCGGAAAAAACCTCATAAATATTGGTAGCAGAGCTACCGGTTGCAGTGACACAGCAAAGACACTGCGCAGAACCCTCAAGCTCCCAGGCCTCTGGTAGAGGACCCAAACCGCCCGCGGAGGCAGAATGGAGCAAGAGCAAATGTAATATTCATCATACATATTTAGATGAAACTACATCACTGAGTAAAGACAGTGTACACTATTTGGAAATTAAATATAAATGTGCACTTTATTGTCCCCGCAGGGAAATTTGTCCTCTGCATTTGACCCATCCTGATGCCACTAAGGCTTACCTCAGGAGCAGTGATCGCCGTAGTACAGTGCCCGGGAACCCATCTCCAGATGTTAATGCTCGGTTTGTTCCGGACTACCGGAGCTGGAGGATTTTACCTATTGAGCATATTTTTAGTGGTAGGGGAAACCCGGAGGAAACGAGCTTCAGAACGATCACCCCCTGTGAGAGAAAGTGTCCAGCAGCAAAAATATATCATCCATACAAACATAAATAAATACATAATCCTAAAAGTCACAATAGTACTATAATAAAGTAATCAATAATTCTAATAATATAATATATATAATAAATTAATAAGGGATTGTAAAAAGTGTCCTCTTTTGGATCACGACAGGTTAAACAAACACCAGACATAGTTTACCCATAACATTTACATAATACTTCCATAAGCTTTGGAAAACAACAATCTATTTTCAACAGCCATTCATCCCCATTCACTTTCTAAACATCCTTAAGTGGCCTGTCACAACCACACGGCTATGGCAACCGCTGCAGCCATCTCCAAAACACAAAATAACCGCTCACTACTGTCTCGTCGCTGCTTGAAATCTTATTAAGGAGCATGGAAAAGACGTGTCCATTTCACAATATCCTCCTCTTCTACAACACACCGGAAACAAAGCAGTCTTGAGAGCCGACGCTTTTTTATAATGAGAGCCGGTTTGTCTCGAGTCCAAACCAAGCAGCCGTCTTTTCAGCTCCGGACAAATGAGAGGTTGTCGGAAACGCGCTACAACCGAAATGGCGAAAGTGCACAATATCGGCCCAAGTTTGAACAAAAAGACCAGATTAATTATAGTATGAATGGACGCAATGGATTCGCTGTTCGTTTTGAAAATATGTGAGAATAATTAAGTGGCTGGTAATGGATATAGATGTCAGAGGGGCCTCTTCACAGCAGAGAGAGGGGAACAATTCTCTGGGTAATGAGTTGTGTGGTCATTGGGGAGTGCCTCCGCCGACTAGTTGCTTGTGAATGTAATTGGTATGCAAAATATTCTTCTCCTGTAAAAAATATTTGTAAAAAAAGGAAGTGGTTAGAGTGTTGGAGGCAGATTTTTTGTTTTGCAATCATTAATTAAAACAAGACAAAAATAAAGATTTGAATTTCTCTACTGATTTTTTTAATATTTCAATAATTCACCCATGTGAACTGTGAACATTGCCTATTTACCACTAGTATGCAAGTGGTTAAGTTTGTTTTAGGTATCTCTAAAGGCTTTTTAATTGATGCAAAGAAAGGTATTAAAAACTGCCTGAATCCAGTCAAAACATTGTTTAATTTGGTCATTGACCCCTGGACAAGTCAACTAAAGGGGCCCTCTTACCCCTGACATATGCAAACAACAACAACAACACCT